CTTTTAAGAACCTATTACATGTTTCTAGTACTAAGCATTTTGGCTTGTTTGACTGCTCATTGTATTTATAGGGAGGATCTTTCCAGTGAGGTTTGTGTTAGCCTTGGAGGACAAACATTGGTTATAGGCAGCATCTCCAAAGCTCTGTGTGCTTCTGTAAAAATCCACCTAGGTGTTTATGTGTGTGTGTTTGTGCTTTTAAAGTGCCAGCTGCTTCTTGAGAAATGAAAGGATCTGTACTGTTGCTCCTGTTGTCTTTTATGTGAGGTGAGGGTGCCTTATTCCAGAGCGTGGAGTTTAGTAATATTTAAAACTTTTTATTCTGGTTCTGTGTAATAAGTCTGTTCATACAAGCTGCCTGAGTAATAAAAATGTTCACTATAATGGGCAAGTTTGCACTTTCATTTTTTCTCGTAGTTACACTTGCTCTGGAGAAGATGGGAAATGCCCCGGTGAAATATTTCTAATGGTAACTCTCAAGTAGTCTATAGCTGGGTGAAATCCCAGTGTGTAGGGCCCAATTTGCTGATAGGAAATGAAAGGTTCTTGTGTATGTGCCCCTAGGACAGACAGGTGGCTGAAAGCTGTTTAAAAGAACCTTTCATTGTTGTCTTAATCCTTGGCACATACCACTCCTGAAGGCCTTCAGGAGAGTTGTAGGCAGAGCCTTACAAAGAATAGGATTCAGAGGGAGAAGTCTGAGAATGAGCATTATTACTGTGTTTAATTGGGAAAAGCTCCGTGTTCAGCAGTGCTGGGAAGCAGCCCTTGAAGAATAATTGCCCACTGATTTTCCCTGAGCAGCTGTCTAGGCTAAGGCAATTCATCTCTTTCCCACTCCCTTATCACTTCTGTGTTTTAAATGCTGCAGTTGCTTAGCAGAGAGTGCAGAAAACTCAGCTGGGAGGCAGGTCTGCTAGAAAAACATGCCATATGAAAATAAATATTTAAAATTAAATTGAGGAGCTAGTATTTTTCCAGTTTACAACGGTAAGTCCTGTGCCGTGTTAGAACAGTATACCCTGATGCTTTTGTGGGGTTAGTGAACCTCCACTTGTGGCTGCTAAAATCTTGCCTGCTTCCCCTTTCTCACAGGTATCACTGTGTTCATGATCACAATACTGTAGGTTGTCCCACTGCTGTGTGATAATAAGATGCTTATTGGATACTTGGGAGATATAAATAACTCCTTTGACCTTCTTGACCTTGATTTTTTTGGGGGGATGTGAAAGCTTTTTTTGTGATGAGTATTTTTTCAATGATTGTAATCAAAATGTGCACATTTTACTGAGTACAAATGCTTTATCTTGCAGCATGTCTATAAGCCAATGTTGTCACTGCACTGTATAAATGAAAAAGAATGGGAGATATCTGTCAATTTAATGGTTCAAAAGAACCATTTAATCTTCAGGGATTCTTCATATTGTAAACTGGTGGAAACTGCATTTCTTGAGCTACGTACTACATAGAGTTCTAATTCTGAAGTTTTTTGGTCTTATGAAAGCAGAAAACAATATCTTGGATACTGTTTTGTATCTGGGAGATGTCTTTGTTCTAAATAAGAAGGATTTCTGTGAGTAAAAGCACTTTTTAGAATTTAATATCTCTGGGCTATCAAGAATCAATTAGGCCTTTTTATTTTTTCCATAGCAAATAAATAGAGCTTGGTGTTGACCATGGTAAGTAGTTTCCATATTCCTTAGCAAGTTTCTCCTATAAAACATACAGCTCTCCAAACCAGATACTTTGTGCAGATGTCTTGCATGATGAGGATTGAGTATGCCTGACATGTAGATACTCTCAGTAGTGATTAGAAGTGGTGTTATCTGATGATCCTTGTCTTTCCTTGTGTGCCTACTGCTCCTTTTGGATATAAACTTGCAGCCATTTGAGATATGGCAGAAGGACACAGGAGAACATGAGAGCATCTCTAGATGGCAGTTTGTCAGCTTGCTAGGAACTTTCCTGTTTGTTTATGAAAAGTGGTGTGTATGGCGGTGTTTTTTAAATCACATTTGCCCCAGAAGCGATGTATCAGCACTTCTAATGTCCATCAGATGATCCAGAGCTCATTTTGATGTTGTCGTGTTTGGCCAGTTGCTTAGGTACAAGCTCAAATACCATATTGGTTATGTTAAATTGAGTTTTGTGGTTTTACAGTTTAGAAAATCAGGGCTTTGCGCAATAACATGCGACCATTCCTTTAGAATATGTTTTCTCTTATACCTAATCAGTTTTATGTGTATGTGCAATAAAGTCTAGAATCACCATAGTTTGGAAACCATCAACGTTTATACTATGCTTTAAACACACAGGAATTGGGGACAGCCTCTTAAATATGAACTGTCTTGCTGTATAGCTGCATAAGGGGTTTTGTGGGACTGGGGAGAGGAGTTCTGGGGTAAGGAGCAATGGGGGCAGTGAAATTCCAAAACAGAACATTGCTAAATATTCCAGTATTGGTGCCTTATGTTAGAATAATTTGTGTGACAGTTTCCCAGTGAATATTCTGTATTGTATAAACATGCTTGCTGTGAGGAATATGTGACTGATGTTTGAGTTATGTGTGTAGATATTGGTACTTTGGGCAATTTTGGTTATGGATAAAAGTGCAATTGAGTTGACCACCTATACATGTACTGTTATAAATGCACAAAATAAAGCAGGCTTGCATGAGCTTCAGAAGGTAGCAGAATGAGAATAAAAGAAAATGGACTTTCAGCCCTTTGGGAAGCAGGTCACGAGCGGAATGGTGGCATGAGAGCATATGGAAAACGGTTGATGCTGAGGATTCACTCACATCTGCACATACACCTAGAGGGACACAAAATAACCACGTAGCTCTGATGAGATCAGGTCATACTGGCAGGGTATAGGAACCAGTGCAGGACAGGTTTATGTGTTCTGCACTTTGTAAGGCTCCTGCAAAGCTTCTCTCCCATCTTTAGTTAACTTTGTACCTGATGCTGAATAGCCAGATCCTTTCTAACCATGGAGACACAAAATCCCCTTTTTACTGTGTGACTTGAGGTGAGCTTACAGAGTTTGTGCTCCCTGCTGAGCCCTCACCAGAGGGCACTGGAGCCTTCCTGCGCTCCTGCTGCAGGCAGGAGGACACTTGCAAGCCCTGTTGCTTTGTGCCTTTGCTGCCTTCAAAGAAACAGGGAATTTTTCTCCAGTGTAAACAGGATATGTTGTCTTAACGTAGTGGGAGCACTGTTGCTTCTTAGTTTTTTTTTCAATTGGGAGAGAAAGCCTTTCCAAATCACTTAGTGTGTTAGAGCTGCAAAATTTAATGCCTTAGACTAGCAAGGAGTAATGGAGCTAATGGTTTTACTGCATGTACAAAACCCTATCCTAGTCTTTAGGACAGTGGTTGGTGGGGGGGAGTGATGGTTTTTATTTTATTTTCCTTAAAACAGTTTGACGATAGCTTCATTACAGGCCTGTGCTTTAAAGAAGACCCTGGAAAGGGACAGTACCAGCTAAAGCAAAGGAAAAGGAGAACGACAGGGTGAAGTATGTGGAGGAATAGTGAATTCTTTCAAGGACTTCTTTGGTAGTGGGATACTTTAAACAGCTTAGTAAAGTATGCTTACAAATGGATGTTTCAAATCAAATCCATATAAAAAGAGAGCTTAAAATTATGGAAAAGATGATATATGATCTCTGACTGACTTTGAAACAACTTAAAGCCTACCCGCAGCCAAATGTTTATAAATAAAGTACCCAAGCAAACTTGTGTGATTGTAGTATACTTCAGTCATAGCTGTTTTTGGAGAAACTCCTGTGAAATAAAGCTGTAGGCCATTAAAAAAAAAAAATAAAAAGGCTAGATTACATGGATGATAAGGGTGTATTAACTTTTATAGTGCTTGGAAAGTCATGTGGTCTGCTGAGGCAGCACTTCCATGCAAATGCTAGCTGTGCAGAATTGGCACCATGATGCTTTCATGCTTTGCTTTTACCCCAACTGCGTGACTGTAATTGAATCTATACGCTGGTACTCATCTCGTTTCTTCAAGAGGTGGTTTGGGGTATTAAGTTAGCAGAAATCTACCCAGTATTTTTTTTTCCTTAATGACTTTTCTTTTGGCATAGTAATGTAAGCCAGCTTGTAGAGCTCAATGAATCCTGTTACTGGCACGAAGTCAGTTAATAGGTGGCTAGGCTAGGGAAAGAATGAACTGCGTGAGTGTCCAGTTAGTTTTAGGTGAACTCTTAAGGAATTGCAGCCCTTGGAAAACAGCTGACTCTGTGAATGAATTGTGAAGCTGGCTATAAAAGGTAGAGGGAAGACTGATGCTGCTGGTGTAGTTCTGAAACTGCAGCTGCCCACAGACCCCAGCCCACTGGATACAGTGATATCCTGGCAGCTCTCAGTATTGCAGATGGCAAATACCATGATGAAAATCCGTCACACTTGAGTTCTTTCGGGCAACTGCTGTAGAAGAAGCTAAAGCCTTCACTGACTTCTCCATCTAGATAGAGGTAGATACTCTTTCAGGCCGGACATGTGATACATTTTTTAGCAACATCGCTTGGTGCAGCTAGGAACGTGTGCTCTGGGGAGAGGCCTATGTCTGTAATGCATTAGTTTCTGGTGCAGCCACTTTTGTTTGGGAGATTTTATCCCTTCTGTTTACGAAGAACAATGAAATGATGGGTCAAACATAAACATGCGTGTGAGAGAAACAGAACAGATTGCTTTATGTGCCTGTAAATTTTAAAACACTTCAGAAGTAAGCAGTAGAAGAATAGATATGCGTATGTGTGCATTATGTGTGTGTATATAACATTCTAAATGTAAGCACTACCAAAGTTTTAGTCTTTTGAAATCTATAATTTTAATGCTCGCTGTATATTTTTTTCAGTTCTTCCTTTGTAATGTTGGTCTGTTTCTTGTGTGTGTGATTTTTTTTAATTTTTTTTTTTTAATTTTATCTTTTGATAGCCTTGTGTTTTCTTACTACCTATTTTTGCTTTTTTTATCATCCCAGAAATTGGTCCGGTGACGATAACCACTGATCCCAAGAAATTTCAGTATGAACTCAGGGAGCTTTATGTTCAGGTGAGTAACTCATTTGTTCTTTTTATATTTTTTGCAGGTGAAGTTTTAAGTTTTTTTGCTTTAATAGTAATGAATTGCATATTTTGTAATTGCTTTCAAGATGCAAACATTCAGCTAAGACAAGATATCACTGACTTATACTTGTTCACGATACTGGTCAAAGGACAAAGAATATATTCAAAAAGGGCAGATAGGACGTTTTTAGTAGATGTCTGAGAAAATGCAAGCATTTCCTAAATGCTTTTTTATCAGTGTTTTGCTTAGAATGGCCATTTGAAAAAAATGTGGGAATGAATGCTGGGGAGCTGAGGAAAAAATGTGATGGATTAATCTTCTGAAAAGTTATAGAACAAGAATTGCCATTAATCAACAAAGCTAAAATTCATGCTAGTGTTAAACTGCTTCAAGTAGTCTGAGCTAAAGAAAGTGTGTATAGGTTTGTCTGAGTGTTGAGCCCGAACTTGTTCACTATGTTAGTGAACATAGTGAACCTATGTTCACTACTGTTTGATATAAGGAAAAAATTTGTCTATTTGCATCTCATTGAAGAAACCAGGCCCTACCCCTTTTATGATCAGAGTGATAGCGACAGAATCCCTTTGACACCTTATGAATTGATGGCATTTTGTCTTGTAATTTACTGGGTGTCGCTCTTATGGAAAATGTCATGGTAACTCCTACTTGGGCAGAAGTGACTTTGTTAGTGTTTCTTGTAGTGTAAATATTAATTTGTAAGTTCTTTTAAATACTTTTTCACACTAGAAGATTTTAAAAATGCACTTAAATCTTTTTTTTACTTGAAAAAGAAAGCATATTCTCATAGTTTGGGAACTGAATGTTCCCACAGTATAGATGTCAATATACTTGCACAAACAGTTATAAAAAAATCTTTACTTCAAGTTGTCACTTAGAACTATTGGTGTCTCTGAGTGGGGTGGTTGGACTAGATGATCTCTTCCAATCTCAATCGTTCTGTGATCCCATGTAAATTAACAGTAATAGTTGTCTTTAGTAGGGTTGTTTTAAACACTTTTTGAATTAGTAGTTAAATTAACTGGATTCAGTACCACTTAAATACAGTAGTACTGAGATGGCAGTCCTATGCCACATATTCTAGGTGACGCTGTGTGTGCAGAGGGGTTGAACTAGATGATCTCTAAAGGTCCCTTCCAACCTTAAGGATTCTATAATTCTATGAAATTTAGACCTAAGAAATTTAGCTTTTGAACTTGTCCAAACAGAATGGAAAAATATTTACTCACCACCATGTTTCCAGCAAGTGCTTTGCATGTGAAGAATTAAAAACTGATGCAATAATTACTTTTTTCCAATTGCCTTTCCAGCCTGGGAAGGCTGTGTGTGTGTGTGAGGAGTATGTATGTGGGTATGTGAAGGCATGCTCATCATAAAAATAATTTTTTATCTTGACACTGCAGAGATTTGTTACCCTTTCCAAAGGAGGTAACTGTTCGTATTCAGCCCTTCCAAAGTTCTTTCACATACTGAATCAATATTTATGCAAGAAGAAAGTGCACTTCTGTTTAAAAAGTATTTTCTTTTTTAATTGAGGAAGAAAGTGACCCTTTGATACAATGTTAAATAAAGTCATAGTTGGAAGCATTTTCATTACAATAAGAGCTGCAACGTGTCCAGCTGGGCAGCTGTCTGCAAAGCAGCGCAGGTCACTGACCATCTGTCACCTGTGACCCTTCTGCTCAGCTCTCTGCCCTGGCTGAGCTCGTGGGAAGCCTAGGACGGATTCAAATGTCCTCCCCGAGAAGAGCTGAGATCATTTCCCACCTGGGCCTATGGCCATGACCTCCCATGACTACTGATGGCACTACGACAGCCATCAAATCCTCAGATAGCTCTGGTGGAATTGTTGTCAGTTGGTGACGACGCTCTACAGAAGCCATGAATGCCTTGGAGAAGGAAAATGAATAAATGATTAGAAGCTGAAAAAGTTCATGTCTTGAGTATCCCCTGAAGAAGATAATTTACTTCATATGTCTGTTTTTTTCTTAGAAAAATGTTAGTGATTGTTTTTCATTTTTTTTATGTTTTGTGAACAGGGTGGTGGCGACTGTCCAGAGATGAGCATCGGGGCAATTAAGATTGCCCTGGAAATCTCTCTTCCAGGTTCTTTCATCTATGTGTTTACTGATGCTCGCTCCAAAGATTATAGGCTAACCCATGAGGTGCTTCAGCTCATTCAGCAAAAACAGTCGCAGGTACAGCAAGGGTTTATGTGCAAGATTGCTTTATAGCTTGAATGTGCTGTGTTCCCAAGGAAAATATTCTTCTCTTTGAGACTCCATGAAATTCTTTTATACAGAAAGGAGCTTGATATTCCCATTCTCATAGCTGTTTTAGATTTTCTTGAAATAGAAAATTACCTGATCTCGTCCATTAAAAACTCAAATGAAAGGAAGGTTTTCTAATACTGTGATTTAAATAGTGGGAGTGAACCTTTCTGCTAGCATGGGTATTCTTGGTCAGCTTAATAGCTGGGTGACATTTAAATGTCTTGAAATAGTTATTTGTGAAACAGAAGCGCTGATAGGAGAATATCACTTGAAAAATCACTGTGAAGTGAATCTTCGTTTCTTCATGGCTTTTTTTCCCCTCACTAATGAATGCAATATCTGTCCTTGCAAAGCCCATGCAAAGCACCGTAAGTCCATGTAGAGCAATATGATTCTTTTGTCACACCATATTGCTGTCTTTACAACATTTTCCTTGCTAAATTTTGACACAATGTGTCAACTGACTTAATATTTCTGGCTTACTTGTGCGTGTGTATATATGTGTATGTATTTGCTTTTTAAACCACAGGTAGTATTTGTGCTGACGGGAGACTGTGATGACAGGGAACACATCGGTTACAAGGTCTACGAAGAAATTGCCTCAACAAGCTCTGGTCAAGTTTTTCATTTGGACAAAAAGCAAGTTAATGAGGTAAAATCTTTGGAGTTCTGCTATATTCAGAGGGGACAAGGGCCATGGCTACACACAGCTTGAGCAGCTTCGCTCTGCCTGGGTGAGAAGGCGTGCAGCAGTAGGACCGCTTGGATGAGATGCTGTTCTGTGCTGTGGGAGCAGTCCCGTGCCTGCCCTGTGCAGCACGAGCGTGTGCAGCAGCACCTTTAAATGGGCATTTTCCAAGCAACTGCCCATGAGTCAGAACAGAAATCCTCTCAACCTTAGAATAGGTGATGTAAGGTTAGGGGATGGAGAAATTAGCTGTTTGGTCTGTACAGTTTCTGCTCTGAATTTGGCAATTATTTGATGTGAAACAGTATGATTATTTTAATTAAATATACCATTTGATTGAATTTCTACATAATAAGAAAAATGAGCACAAGTTGCATAAGCAAGTAACTAAAGCCATGTATGCCACATCTATCACGCAAACAATTCTAGAAAGGGGCTATGATGTTTTAGACTTTGTTCCATGTAGTAAGCAGCAGTACTCTTGCATGAGCCTCAGATGACTAGTCATAATATACTTTTGGACAAGTTCACTGTGAAATTTTGGAGGGAAATGCTCTCCTTCAGAAGTGAGGTTCTGGGATTCTGGGATTATTTATTTATTTATGATTTTGGAAGGCAAATGTGAGCAGAGAGAACCACTTGCAAATGCTAAGCAACTCCATATTCTTAGGTAGGGCTGGTATGTGCCGTTCTATCAGCAGCCTATCTCTGCTTTCCGAGCTCCTTACACTTTGCCTGTTCTAGGAATACCAGCTTCTGCTTGAATGACAGGTTTGACTTGGAATGCTGAGTAAGGTTTTAGGTGGGGAATTGAGGTAGCAACTTCTTCCTCCTTCCCACTCCATCTCAATGTTTACTTTGAGCAAATAACGGGTGGGTTCCTCATCTAGAGGCTAGACAGCCCATGCTCTGCATAAAAGCAAAGGTTCATACCAGCAAGTTATGGTATTTTTGCACAATTTTAGGGATCTGGAAGGGGAGGGAATGGGTAGAATGCAGTCGTCTATATAGTGGGTGCTATAAGTTATCTCCCAGGGAAACTAAATGGCTTTTGTAAGTCCTGCATCCCAAATGACACCTCTAGACTTCACTTCTCAATCAGAAAGCCTACTTTAAGTGTCCACCAATGCTTGGGGAGAAGTGAAAAGGATAGATAGTGCTAGTCTGCATCAGCCTTCTAAGGTGCATATCCCTTAGGCATGCTTCAACTGAAATAAAACTTGCTGCCCTCTTCATCTGTTTGGTCAGTTGTGTGCCGAGCATCAAGGTTTATAAATGCTAAAACATAGTCACTGTTTTGAGCCCAGAGGTAGCTAATGCTGAAATGTCTATTAGGAAAATGCTACCAATAACTGAATGTGAATGCTCTGCCAAAATGGAATCTTGTCGTCTTAAAAACATTTTTGATTATTCTGCCTCTCCAAACCAAGTTATTTATAGTGTGTAAAACTGCAAATCATCATTCTCATCCTTGCCCTTTGCACATTGTGTGGAGAATGAAGCAATATTATGAACTAGCTACAAGGAAACAAACAAAGCATGACTTGGTATGTATCCAGTGCTTGTGCTGTTAAGACAAGGAAAGCTTGTTGCCTTTTTTTACTAGCTCAATATTTACAGTTAACTTTGAAACTCTTGTCAATTGACAAAGTCCTTTTGAATGAAGCTCTTTTACCAGTGTCATTGAAGGTCATGTTCTGACAGACTTGTCAGGAACTCTCTGCGCTTTACATTACTAAGAACATTTTTCTGAGTTCAAAATGCAAGTTGTGGTTTATTTAATATCTAAAAATTACTCTAGGCTTTTCCATTATTTGGAATTATAGGCATATCATCATTTCCAGAGGTAACGCTATGCAATATCAAAGAATGGCAGATTTCCCACAGTGTGGGGTCCTACGTGGTCTTAGCATATTTGGTACAGATTAATCTTGCCTTGGGCCTCTAAGGAAGTGTAAAAGTATTCTATGATCAGAGTCCTTAACTTTTCCTTTTAATCTGATTTGGTTTATAAGTTCTGCTTTTATAACTTATTAGTTATCTCTGAATGCTATTCTATTTAGCTATAAACCTGAGTGGGCTTCAGCCTGAAGCTTTTCAAACTCATCTCTAATTCATTTTATTCTGTTGGATCAGTTAAAATGAATGTCCTCTTGAATTTCATTGTCCTTTTTTTGCACTGGAAAAACTAAAGCAGTAATTTTTCATTTTGTCTCCATTGTCTTGTTATGGTTATTAGCTTTATTTTACCTGAGCATTTAAGTTTTGATCTTGAAAGCCATTCCATTAGGATTGGCTTGTAAAGCTGCTGAGTACTGCCTTGCAGAGTATTATATTCAAAGGAGATTTCTATTTGTAGTGTAGCTTTCACACGCAGTGTCTTAGTTGTATATAGTTGTAATACACACCTATATAAGCACTAGTAGGATGTAATCTGGATCTTATCTTTGGGTTAAAGTATGCACTCACAGATAGATAGGCAACGAAATGGTTAACTTGAAATAGTCTTTCTTTGACTGTTTGAGAAATAGTCTTGAGACGTAGAATAAATAAATGGGATGGGAGACTGTACTTCATATATTTTCCAGGTTTAAGTATGCATTCCAAGAAATGACCTGACAGCAGGGCAGGTTGCAAGAGCAAGTTCTCTGGAGAAGTGCTCTAAATTAATTCTGTGTTTGCCCTTCCCCCTCTAATAATATTCATCAAGTCACATTTTGGCAGACCCACAAAAGCTACAGTTGTTTGGGGGGCTTTATGTAAGGATCCCAAAGGAGAAAATATCTACTTCAAAACCAATATTACAGCAGAATTGCAAAGCTCTTTGGAACGAGAGAGTTGGGAAATAAGACTTCCAGATTTGCTGCTGAACTTTGGGGAAAAACTTAACCACACAAGAAAGTTACTCCCAGCCTTATGACAGCTGGGTCATTGGCCCTGGCTCTCATTTTGAACTTGAACTCTCAAATATGTTCATTTAAAAACTGTTGTTGGGTTCTGTTCTGAATTCCCTTTCACTTTGACTCCCTTTCACTTTGAGTAGCTCCATTTCTGATACGTATTTGGGTTAAAAACAAAGGTTTTTTTTCCCTTGTTCTGTTTTGTTTTTCCTTTCTTAAATGGTGGTTGCACAACACAAACCCTTATCTGAAAGTCAATTTCATTTCTTCATACATCATCTGAGAGGAAAAATAATTAAAGGACAAATTCTGTTTTCAGAGGACTCCTAAGTAGCTTCATGGTCATCAGCCAGCCTGCGGGTGATTCATAAGCTGGGATTTCAGCTGTGGTTATGGTAGTTTCTGCAGAATCTGAGCACTTCGCAATCACTGTTTTACTTGTTCCTGTGGCACTTCTGTGAGCTAGAAAAGTACAGTTGTCCCTGTGAAATAAGAGTATTTAACACAGTCCAAGCCAGACTGCCTGAAGCCCTGTCCCCTGGAGTTACTCATACGGCTGCTGAGCTGTTGTCTGCTGCGGAGGAACTGCAAAACCTCGAGCTCCAGTGATTGTTCTGCAGTCTCGATGATTTGTTGCTTGTTGGATAAAAACATTGAAAGTTGAGGAATGTAATTCCCGAAGAGACAAATTCAGTTGTAGTTGTGGATTCCCAAGAACTCCTGTCTTAGAGCTTTGTTTCCTTCCATCCTGACCTGTGTTCTGTGTGAAACAGGAACCTACATTGGAGAAAAATTAGTTAAAATATCAACAGATGACAATTAATGAATACTACACCTGGATAAGGAAAATTTCCATATTGTTTCAGGCAATTAATAGTGTGTGACTAGAAATAAGCATATAACTATCCATTCCCTTTTGAAAATTGTCCTATAAGCCTAGAGTGTAAGTGTGGATTTTCCATAGAGATATCCATCTCTTTTCAACATCATGCAGGTCTTGGCTTTGGTAATATTTTCTGGGAAAAATTACTTTTATTAAGCATTAATTTTTTTTAAATTATTGCTCTACTCTGGTACACGAGCCTCTTCATTTTCAAAGTGGCAGTTACACAGATAAGGCAGTATAGTTTTTGGTGCTTGTTGTTTTTTCCCTGTTTCCCTGTTTTTCCCCAGATATTTTTTGATTTTTTTATATTGCACGACAGAACCTGAAGCGTGTGTCTCTGTTGGTTCTTTGCTTTCTGTATATTCAAAGTCCATCAGGAATATGGACTGAAAAATAATCATTTTTCTGTTTTGTTATCATTTATCTGTTCCAGAGGTATTGTATGTACCTCTATAGGGGCATGTAGCCCCTGTACAAAACATGATTGTTTTCTGCTTCTAGGTGTTGAAGTGGGTTGAAGAAGCAGTTCAAGCCTCCAAGGTGCATCTCTTGTCTACAGACCACTTGAACATGGCTGTGAATACTTGGCAGATCCCTTTTGATCCCAGTCTCAAAGAAGTTACAGTGTCCTTGAGTGGCCCTTCACCAGCCATTGAAATTCGTGACCCGTTAGGTAAAGTAGTTCATACGTTCTTTTATGTTACGGAAAAAAAGAAAAGTAATCGCTACTGTCTGCACCGTAAAAGGGAATATTTGTTTGACTTCTAATATCAAATATGCGTCAGTAGTGAAGAAGAATATTGTGTTTGCTCTCTGGTGTGTAGCTTTTTTTGTCTATTTGTCCTTAGGCAAGCAGATCAGCAAAGGATCTGGACTGAATGAATTGCTGAATATCCACAACTCTGCTAAGGTAGTAAATGTTAAAGATCCAGAGCCTGGGACATGGACAGTTAAGGTATAGTTATTGCACAGATTATGTATGATTTGTCCCATAGTTTATAATTTATTTATTAGATCTTCATCAATGAGTTTGTCTTAGTAAATGTCCTCACTGGGCTACTGTTTGCCACAAATTCTGAAGGCAGTAGCATAAAAATCTTACCAAGGTGAAGCTACTGTTTTAGGTCAAATCCTTAGGTCATTGAGCAGAAACAATAGACCACAAAACTGTTTGCAGTCCAGTGAGTGGAGACTTTCTATGGAAAGTATAGACCAGAGAGGATTTGCTGTGTATAGTGTGTCTTAAGGGCTGTGAGAGAGAAACTTTATGGGTTAGATATCTCACAAGATGGACAGTTCTATGTTTAATTCAGATTTATCAATAATCTCTTGAAGCATATAAGAAAACTGGTTAATTTAGGTGGTATCCTAGCAGTATGCACTTACAAAATGAGGCCCTAAAGGATTTGAAGTGTTAGATAGGAAAATCAACATGGTCAGTAATAATCACCAATCAAGAAATTATTATTAAGGCCTGCCGAAATGATCACATTAAAAATGACTGTAGCTCTACAGTGGTTTTTGAATTCATAAAAATTGCACATTTGTTCATGCATTTATTAAAATTATGCAAAACACATCTATTTAATCTTGATTGTTTGCAAGAGGGTTTCAGGAAGGCAGGTTTTCCTGATACGTGTGACAAATACATGTTTACTTGTACATCTCTGTTTTTCTTAATCCTCTAGTCTGTGAGGAGAAACAATAATGAAGAATTTCATTGTTCAATACTAAACTAAAAATAATTACAAGAGAATTGATAAGAATAGTACTTAGCAATCCTTTGGGACGAAATTTGCTCTTACACGCTTGCAAAACACTCAATTCCTAGGTGCACCTATAAGAGACATCTACTTCTATTAGTAAATGTAACATCTTATAAAGTTATTCTAACATTAAAACTTCCTAAGTGTCCCAAGGTCTGAATAATTGAAAAGAGAGGGATACTTTCCCAAGTTACTCTTTTTCTATGCTGAGTTTACTCAGCCTTAGTCATTGGCGTATTTTATTTGCGCTAAGATTTTAAGACTGCTGCTAGAGAGTTAGAAAAACTTTGTGAAATGTTTATTCGCACTATAAATTCTGTGATTAAAAAAAATGAAGTTTTAACGGCCGATTAACGCTTGATAACAGGAGTTGTTTGGCACATTGAAATATTTCATGGTTAACAAGTGGTTTATATAAAAAGATGGGTGATTTTCTGAGGTGAAAGGCTAGCTAAATAGAAGCAAAGAAGGGTTGTCTTGACAGACATCAATTTGTTATAGTGTCTAAATAGATGCATTGGGTAGTTGGTTATGGAAAAACATGCTTAGTTTAAAAATAGTCATTGCAGCTGTACTGAAGACAGTTCCTGAATTGCAGAAATACTGTGTTTTAGATTTGGCTCAGATAATGCTGTTCCTGAGAAACGAATTCAATTGGTACTTTTTGCAGGCACTGCAATTATAGGATCCAGGATCTAAAACCTAAGCCTTGCTAATGGCTTTTTTTATCAATAGATTTTGATATATGCCTCCGTTCTGCCTTGTTTTTACAGAACTCAGCTGACATGTCAGTTCAGTAAGTAACTTGGCAAGCCCTGATGTGCTGCTTGTGCCCATGGTTTCTTGTTTTGTGTTTTCAGACATCCAGCAGTGGAAGACACTCTGTTCGAATCACAGGTCTCAGCACCATTGATTTTCGAGCAGGATTTTCTAAGAAGCCAACCTTAGACTTTAAAAGAACATCCAGCAGACCAGTGCAAGGTTGGTTTCCAGTTTATTTCTTGCAGGGCGAGTTATTTTGAGGAGTGTGCTGAGGTCCCCCCAGATGAGTAGAACTTCATGATATGAACCTCATGGTAAAGCCTGGCCCACTGGCTTGTCTATAGATCATTACATGTGGGATAGCAGTGAATTGTCTTGTCATACTGCAGTCATCTTCTATATTAGCTGGGTTTGTGTGTTTCTGCTAATTTTGGAGGCTTAAAAAAGAGCTTTTGGCCCTGGGATATGGTGGGGAATTAATAAAACAGTTTCTATTACAGACACATCTGTTGAAAATCAGCAATTTAAATCCAAATCAGTGCTGTGTCTCCCAAGAGCTAATAAACCTGGCACAGTTCAGTACAGTTTAGTCTCCTGCTCCTTGTTAAGTAAAAGATTGTCACTAAATGGTGCATTTGTGGGACCAAGGGCCACGCATGCAGATGGAGTTTAACCTTTCCTCCTCTATTTGGGAACTTAAATAGTGTGTTCCTGTTTTTCTAGGGATTCCTACCTTTGTGCTGCTGAATACCACGGGAATCGCTCTTCCAGCTCGAGTAGACCGACTGGAGCTTCTGAGCATCACAGGGGAACTTCTCAAGACTTTGCCAGTGAAATACTATCCTGACAGAAAGCCCTATGGGCTGTGGAACATTTCTGACTTTATTCCACCACAGGAAGCCTTTTTCGTCAAAATAACGGGCTATGACAAGGATGGTTATCTTTTTCAGAGAATTTCAAGTGTTTCATTTTCTAGTATTATTCCTGGTAAGAGGTTTCAGCTTTAATTGAATGTGCATTTGTCATATCTGAATTACATCAAATTGCTGTCTAATCTTGTTTTTACTCACTCAAGTACTGAAAAAGAATTTCCTGCTGTTTCCATCCAAAGTTCTGTCTGTATGTTGTGAAGAAAATTGAATTTTGTTATCTACTAAGTATAATTTAATCAGAATTTTCTTTTTAATGAGGTGATAAGGTGAGGTATATGTCAGTAGTTTATTAATAATTTTGGGGGGAATGTTTTCTTTCCTCAGAGGCTCCAAAAGTAACAATGCCTGACAAAACTCCAGGATATTATTTGCAGCCTGGGTCCATTCCTTGTCACGTAGAGAGTCTTATACCTTTCACTCAACATTTTAGTAAAAATGGAATTAAACTAGGAGTGGATCAGTTCTTCAAGTAAGTAATATTTTTTTCTATGCTATTTAATTTTCTATTTACATCCTATTATTTCATCTATTATTATTATGTGCTGTTTATATTCTTTGTTTTTATCTGTGATGTTTTTTAGGGAGTCCATACTTTTAGATGGAAATTCATAGCCTGTATGAGAAGGGCATGTTTTTGAGGAGAGGGCACACACTTAAGATTGTAAAGGTCTGCCTGAAATCCCTCTTTCAAATGCAGACACCTTTAAGCCTTGTTTATAGCATTTGTAAGTTTGGAAGGCAAATGCTGTTGTATTTGTGCTCTCTTTCACAAGCTCTACAAAGTAGATTAGTAAATACGAAGTTCCCTGCCCCTCAACATACCTGCTTCTACCCCCAAAATTGGATTGTGTGCTTTTTCTATGTAGAATGAGATGGGAATAAAAAATTTACAAGAAATTTATGTTAAAATATGTAAAATAAATCAAACACTGTGGTCCATTTTTTAAGTCTTTAATTTAAAACATGAGAAATACAAAGCAGAAACCAGTCTCTCCTTGTTTTCTACATATCCAGTACCTTTATTATTTGTGTGTTCTCTGTGTGATTGTATTACAGAATAGGTGAATAACAGATCCTCCAAAGCAACTTAATGAGATATGTCCCAAGCCAAATGTTATTGATCTTGATCTACAGATAAATAGATTCTAATATGATTTATTTTAGCAGCTTTTATAAGTAGTGAAGTTCTAGACGGGATTAGTCCAAATTTGAGCTGTTTAATTCTGCAGTGGATGAGTTCTGGTGACAAAATATCCTGTTTGCTCAAATATTTGTTTATATGCTTAGCTCAAGAAGCAAATGATTTATGTGCATTTCGATGCCTTACGTGCAGTTTGATCAGCAGGCAACGTCAGAGTGAAACACGTGAAAAGGGTTTGGGTAGATAGATGACCTGGTGCTGCAGGGTACTGAGCGATCACTGTCCTACACAGTGAGGAGCAGTGTGTGGCTTCCCCGATTTAAGGGCTATGCCAAAGCTCTCTCAGATGCCTCGCAGTGGCTCTTTGCTGCTGCTGCCACTGCTCTTTTTTGAACTGATCACTGCCCGCCTGCTTGGCCGAACTTCTCCGCTCTGGACACGTTTCCTTTTACACACTCAGGGCTTCCATCTTACACAGCTGTTATATGGCTAAAGCCGGGAATGAAGAATAGAATTGTGTAACTTGACTTTTAACTTACTTTTCTTTACGAAAAGTTTTTCACTTTTGACTTGGAAGAAATACTGCTTTATTCTGTTTCGTGTTGGCAGTTACTGATGCTTTTATCTGCCAGCATTCCACTGTTGAATGCCTTGAATTTGGTGTGTGATATATTAGGTTATCTATAATAAATGTGAAATAAGGGAGTAAGTAGGGAGTCCTTTAAGGTCATGGTACACTGTTTGCATTTACAGTATAATCCGCTGGCTGGGTTGTCTGTCTCTTGGTGTTACAACACTGAACTTTGACGTATATTCCAAGTTTCTTTCTCCTCTTCTTCCTGTATCCTTTAAGGATTGATAAATGACTTTACTCAGTCAAGGAAAAAGGAAGTGAAAAACATTGCTAAATCAGAGCTCTCCCGTAGTGTGGAAGCTGGTGGCCAAAGCTCTCATGGTTAAGACGGTCACATTAGTGGTTCGTGGGTTGGTTTGTGCATTGTAGCAACAAGCCTCAGCACAGGCTGGGCTCTGCATGGGTCATTCCTGTCAGCTGCAGTAGGCCCGTTGCATCCTCTCTTGTATGAGATGTAGTTAGGAGTCTTAATCTATAGAGTTCCTGAAGCCAGTGACACTGTATACAATTATGTTCTTATTTCAAATATTGCATTTGACAAATATATGGGATGCTTAAATCAGCTGTGTCTGCTGTGATTTATATGCAAATGCCAGGTATTTCTCTAGATGTCTCTTGTGGGGTTTTGCTCACAACCACAGCTTTTCTGGTACACCCTATACTTCTTTATTACATTAATTTTTGTCTTTACATTTATTGTGGTAGCTAGGTGATGTGCAGAATATTCAAGTACCTATTGTCATAACTTGAGATGAAGCCAGAAAGCCAGCTTCATATAGGTCCTTCATACCTTGCAGCTTTGTAGAAGCTTGAGACAGAGCTGGCCCTGTAGTCTGAAAAGTCAAGGTGACTCCCTGAACGTGCTCTGGAAGCAAAGGCCATTTTGTAGTGACAAATATGGGAGAAGGTGCCCTCTCCACTGTATGGACCTGGTATATTTATGTATAGAAAGAGGGTAAACCAGGCTGTGTCCAGTAAAGAACAGGGTGTCGTTTTGTGTGTAGCCCCTGCCGTGTACCTGGGAGTTGGAGACTTTCCTGCTGGAAGGATTAACCTTTTACCTTTTGTTGCACCTTTTCTGGTAGGAGGTTTGATACCTGGCTTTAAACAGAAACAATGTGGGAAAAAGGAAGCTAAGGAAATATAGCTTCTAAAATAGTAAAGTAACAGCAGAGAATGAGCAGCTGAGTGTGAGAGTGCAAACACAGTAGCCTTGGGAATTGTGAGGCTACTGTTGACATCTGTTAAAGGCATGTTTGTGGGTGCTTAATTGATTCACTCTGCAAAAAGTCACATTTCTGAATAGTTAACTGAAACCTGACAGTGTCTGCATCTCCCCCGCTCCAGAGAGTCGTCTAGCGTGAGCTGGGACATGGAGCGCGTCTCCCTGGCCGACGAAGGCCTGTACGAGTGCAGCGCGACGAGCAGCGCCGGCACCGGTCGCGCGCACACCTTCCTGGATGTGTCAGGTAGTATTAATAAGCCTGCTGGGCTGGCGTGTCATAGTGCACTTAATGGGGAGTAATCACACAGGGGCCATTAAAATATATTTAGAACCCAGAAGCGTGAGGAGAATGGATAAAATGGATAAAAAAAAAAAAAAAAAACTCCCTGGTGATTGTAGTGAATCAGTATGTCTCATCTTAACTATTCACTTGGAGAATGTGTGTCCAGTTAGCACTTACCTTCCAGTCTCACTGTTCCAGATGTGTACATATTGATGCTCAGTCTTGACACTAAAAATATCTTTTTCTCTGTGGAGAGAAGTGAAAGACAATCTTGAGCGTTGTTCTCTCATGAGCCTGGTGGCACTTGGAAGCTGGGACTGTGCCCAGGCTTTCGCATATTGTCTCCTTTAACAGGCGCTGTGAGATCTCCTGAGACTGACACCCTATGTAAACATGAGCAATTAGCTCTATTTTGAACCATACAGTAGATTAATGTGATGGAAGTGCTTTGAAATCCTTGTGTACAAATATTTGGAAGAGTTATTTGCATATTTCTGCTCTATAGAAAGTAAAGAGCCTTTTCAAAGTGTTTTCAGTTTGCCCAGCTGACAGACAGTACAGCTCAGATTAGCCATTTTGACAGCTGCTGTATGAAAGGCATTGGAACTGTGTCAACATGAAGTGAAAACACTTCAGGAAAAAGCAAATACATGAGTTTGACTTAGTCTTACTAGTATTAAATGTTTAGAATGTCAAAGGGCTTGTTAGCTTGTGCAGGCACCTTAACTGAAGTGCTAGTAAAAGATGGTCTGAATGTGGGGAATTCAGTTTAAGGTGCCAAAAAGCTGGTGTGGTCTTAAAGGTCTCACCCTGGGCTGGCAGCCAAAGGACAAGGGCATTTTAGTCCTTTCCTGGCCTAGGAAAAGTAAGCAAGTCTCAGTAAGCAAGTCTGGCTTTTGTTGGCTCTTCTCTGCACGTGTGAAAATGCATGGTGATGGTTATAGGAGTGATTGCTGGGGGGGACATTGTCTAAAGGGAATCAGAGCTGACCAACCAGCTAAGGAGAGCATGGGCGAGATGGCTGTGCAGAGAGCTCGCAGGAGCTTGTGCGCCTCATCAGACACTCCATAAGAGACTTGCATGAGGAAGACTCTCCTTTTTTTCCCTTCTGCATGCTTGCTTTGCTTATGGGGATTAATTTTGATGTATGCTGATAAGGATTTGGTCTTGCTCTTACCAATGTCTCCTGTTAGAGCATCCCACTTGAGCTACTACTCATTGCAGATCTTTGTGTGGTTAAGAATCATTCTGACTGAGGACATAGGACTGGAGTATATGTCCTTCTTAATGGGAATGCATAGCATGTCATGTATTTAGTTTGTTTTCTTTCTCATTAATATTTAAATGTTTCTTCGGTCATAAGAAGAATCAAGATGAATATTCCTATTTTAAGCATTTGTGGGTTTTGAAATTAAATTCTAGTAGAAACATATTGCAGCTGTGTTCTTCTCGGTACCACAGAAGTGTGCGTAGGAACAGGAAGCAAACAAATAGCAGGAGCTGCAGCGTAAATATCTACTGATAAGAAGAAAAAGACTGAAGTGACCTAAGATCTGAATGGAAGCTAGCACATTAATAACATAATGATGTTTAAACCAACTGTTGACTGGAACTCGCTGTCCTTACTAAAACAGTTTTAGTAGCACTTCTCTTTCATATAAAAGCCTGCTTGTATTGAAAGGAAGGGGGGGGGGAAGTCTTACAGTGTAGCTCAAATTCCATGTGGAACACTTCAATTGAAGATCAAACTTCCAGACCAAATGGAGATCCTGTCTGCCCATTTTGTTACAGTGGTCCTTGGTCTCACATAGACTTCCTTTTGGTGCAAGATTAGAGTGGGTGGTTAGATCAACTCAAAGATGAGTGTGAAAGACACTTCTTTCCAGTAGTCCTGCACTGTGTCCTTTCTCATGCATGTCTGTGGGATGAAACATTTGTACCATCCGAAATGGCACGATAGATCTTTCCCATAGATCACATGTAATTGAATTATATAAGCTGCTGGCATGCAAGTTGGCATCAAGCTTATCTGTGTTATGTTTCATGGCTTCATCAATCCACAATGAGGTATCAAACTGGTACTGCCAAACTATTTCTCTAGTGATAATAATGCTAATATTTCTATTTATCAAGAATCTACAAACAAGACAAAGGAATCCACATCTTTCCTTTGTTTTGTTCTTCTTGTTTCTGCACAGAGCCTCCACCTGTGATTCAGGTTCCTAATAACGTCACAGTTGTTCCTGGTGAAGGAGCCATCTTGACATGCCTGACGTCAAGTACCGTGCGCTACAATCTCACCTGGCAGAGGAATGGCAGGGACGTGAGGCTTGAGGAACCACTGCGCATGAGGGTGATGAGCAACCTGTCTTTAGAAGTGAAAGCTGTAAAGCTCACCGATGCTGGCAAGTACACGTGTATCGCTGCCAACGAGGGTGGAGCTACCACTGCATCCGTCTTCCTTACAGTGCAAGGTAACAGGGCATCTGCCTTCATCATATTCTGATGTTATTTTTGAGTCCTGTCATAACAGGTTCATGTTCTAGGCTCATTTTGGGAGAAGAATGCAGCTTGGAGACAGATAGAAAGAACACCTTAGAGACTGATAGAGTATTATTTAGCCTTTCTTATTTTAAAATAGCCACAGAAGTTACCAAATAATACTAGGACTCGTTTGGTAAGACTTAAATCAGTGCTGCCTCTTCGTACTGAGAATAAAGTTCAAAAAATAAGTGCCATCATTTGCTTTAGAGGTAAGTCTCTTAATTTGGATGTCCTGCAGATTTCTCTCCACTTGCCTTGAAGTGATAGGAACTTCTGGTCCTAGCCTCAATCCTGTGAATAGGAAGAGGCAGCAAAATGCAAAACACATTTGGAAGAAGTGGTGGGGGGTGGAACACGGAACTATTCTGTCCCATATTTTTAGTTTTTGGCTCTTGATAAACTGCTTGTGAGTAGCTCAGCTCTGACAGGTTTTCTGCTTACTAATGATACTGGGTCATGTTCATTCCGTAACAGGAAACTCCTTTGACTTCACTGCTCTAGTTCTAGGGCTTAGTTGATGGAACACTAAAAAAAAGTGGGATAGGGGAATCAATGGTACTACCTTAGCTAAGGTGTTTGGAACCAAAGAAGAGAGGAATTACAGTACTGCCTACAGGGATGGGGTTCAAACTTCTGTGTGGAGGAAGGGCTTTACTGGCTTCCTGAGTTGCAGTAAGTAGATGTGCAATGAATTATGTAGAACCTATTACAAAATAAAGCAGAGGCATTTCCTTACTGAGCTGTTTCAGTTGCCCTTTGGACATCTATAGCAGAGTCTAACTGCTGAAGTCCTGATAAGGTTAAAAGGGAGAAAAATGAGAAACTCTTAAACCCTCTAAACCTTTGGAAAACTGACAGTTTTGTCTGAAATTATCCAGGATTTTTCAATGAAGGCAATCATTTGACCATGTCAGAGGCAACAGTAGAAGCTCTCTTCCCCACCCATCTCTTCCTGGGATTTAGATTTTTCTCCCTAATGTCTGTAGACCAGCTGGGAGATATAACAAAGTGACCAAATTGCTTCTGGCAGGTTCTTACAGTAAAGCTCAAGTTTACTGCTGTCTCAGCAGAATATGTAGTTTCAAATCACACATATATCTGAGAATGATTATGTCAGATAGTTGGGAATTACATTTTGGCTGGCACTGGTACTGCTAACAGCCTTAAAACGTGCCTGAGATAACCCCCTTGGATGGTTTTGACAGGAGTAGCTGATAAGACTGGCAAGTATTTTCTTTTGGTTTTGGTGAAGCGTGCTTACAGCAGAGCTAGGCTGCAGGAAAGACTAAGCTGCCTTCAGATTTCAGCAGTAGTGTCTGTGTCTTCCTTGGGAGCCTGTAACCTACCTGCAGCCCTGCACAGAGCTGTTGCAGAAGCTCTGTGGCAGCAGAATTTCTTCTCCTCATTTCAGTTTGATCTGTCCCTTTTCTGGAGATGCACTGATCTGTGGCTCCCTGTGTCACACACGAGCCTTACCATTTGCTAAGAGCGCACAAGAACTGTGGAGCAAAGAGTGACTTATTGAAAAAGAGAAAGCTTGGAAGGATTGTCATGTGAAAACTCCAAAGAGGGCAGGTAACCCCAGAGATTGTGTTAAATTCAGAGGCTGGGTTGAATCCCAGTAGTATTGCTGGGGTGGCTTCATATTGATCCCTGGATATTCTCTAAATCAGAAGAGAATAAACTCTGCTTTTTGTCCCTACTTTTCTTGGAGTGAGTTGAAGTAGAGAAGAAAAGCTGGTAGCTATCAAAATAATCCAGCATCTACTTTACATGCTTAATGTTTGTTTTGAAACTTTTCAGCTTGATAATGCTGCTTCTGAAAGAGAATGTTCATCTGATTTTTTTATTTATTTTCTTACAGCTGTGCAAATACAGATTGAGTCCTTGAATGAGAGGTGACTTTTCCACCCATTTTAAGTGTTGCACGCTAGCGCTAAGCCAAGTTAGGTGAAGACCCCTTTTAGAGCTTGTGTCTACTTGTGGTGTGGCAGAAAAGTGGAAAGGTCACCAAATGCAGCTCTATACACTAGTTCTTGCTTTGATAACTATAAAATGTTTTTGATGTTTTTCACCTGCATAAGTAATATTGACCCTTTGGGATTTTGAGAAACACTCCATTAAACTCCAGTCCTGACATGTGATGCTGCTAGATGTAATTTTATGGGTTGTCTTGATTTTGTATGTGTTTTGGTTTGAGTAAGTAAGAATAAACAATGAAATACTTGTTTTGGGGATTGCAATTATCTTTTGCCTCTACTGTGGAACGCTGCCCACATTAAAGGTACAGTGGGAGAAAATAGAACTTAGTAGCCCAAGAAGGTGCAATCGTGCTATCCTGGACACTGCTCAGCTTGAAATACAGGTTAAGGAAAGCTTGTTGAGGGGACGAGGAATGTGATTTGAGCGATCCAAAGCACTGGTGTAATGTTCAGGCCCCACACAAGGAGCAGGAGCCAGCGCTGAGCACCCTGTGACCTTCAGCAGGAATATGCAATTCTGCACATCCTTCTTCATTTCTTCTCTTTATGCACAATTTTTCTTTCACGTCTTTCATCTTGCTGCTGAACAAAACTGAAATACTACCATGAATATCTTCTGTTAAATGCATATTGATTGAAACATGATTTAAGCTGAAACAATACAAATTGGATGAGTAGAGAAAATTCCTTCTGGGTAACAAGATTCTTCAGTATTTGTAAAACTTTATTTTTTATGTTCAAATGTTAAGTTGACTTTTGGGTGTTTCTGTGTTTCTATAGCTTTCTTGGGTGCATTCTTGACACCAGAAGAATGTAGGTTTTCAGAAAGCGGATCTCAAAGTCATGTTTCCCTTCCTCTATCTCCACTGAGAAACTAAGGCATATCTGTAAAACTTACAGACACACAAGAAATTGTGGATGTTGGTGTGGTCACTTCATCCTTAACAGTGTAAAAAAACCAATTAATTCTTTGTGCTACTGTTGTAGTCCCTGTAGAACATAAAGCAGTGTTCATCATAAAAACACATCCTGCAGTCTTGGTAGTTTGGAGCACAGGGAAGTTCAGACTCCTCTCTCTTTACTTCCTACTGACACGACTGGGTCATGAGTCCAGGGAGCCACTGCTGGTGCAGAGCTGCTCTCCTGCCAGAGCTCTGTACTCAGCTGTGCACAAGAGTGGCCAAATGTTTATGGTAAAGTGTGGAGGAAGCAAAAGTTGCAAAATTCACACCTTTAAACTGTTCCTTGCCAAAGCAATAGTTTTGAATCATTGTTTGTGGAATTAATAAGACGACAAGAAAGACTTTAGAAGATGCTGTAGAAAAGATATTGATTCTTTATGGCTTTTAGGAAAGTTCCATTAAAAAATGCAAAATAAAAAAAAAGCACTCTAAGAAAGGCAGCTTCTTTTTGTGGCTAATAAAAGATGATAAAGGTGTGTGTTTTTATATATGCACTTGATAAATTACAGAACACATCCCCTATTTTTATATTACATGGCCAGGGGCCCCCCCAACATTACAAGTACGCCTGCTTCCATGTACCAAAGGGCAACCCCTTCTCTCCAGCAGCCCCTTGCATGGTGCCTCCCTGTTCTTTGTGGTTTCCTTGGGGCTCTCAGTGGGTTGGGTAATGGGAGGAATTTATGGTCCTTGTTTGCTCCCATACATGCAGTTTACCAAAGGCTAAACTGCACCTGATTGCTCTGAAGCCCATTCTAACTCCCATTGTGGCTGCTGTTCTCTTCTAGCAAGCAAGGAGTGCACAGTGTGATGCTGCTGCTGCTTGGTGGTAGTTTGAGTGCAAACCAGCAGCAGCAACTCTTAAGTTTTACTCCTGATCCTGCTGTACCTGCTCCTGAGGGCCATGTGGCCACAGAGCAGGCGGGAGCCAAGTCCCGCGCTGCAGGAGCAGCAGCAGGAGCTTAGGCCCTGCCTGGGGCCAGCGTGTGCACCGTGTCTCCTGGAGGCTCCTGGCAGGATTTGAGAGAGAACAAAAATAGCCGAGAAAGCTGCACACAGCGGGAAGCACTCAAGGGCCCTTCACTTGTTGACATCCATGTCGTCCCTCTCCCTGTCCCTCATATCTGAGTTCAACACTAGAGGGATGGCTCTGCCTTCCTCTGGTGTCTTTTTTCCAGGATCTTGGAAAATTCAGAGCTTTTAGGAAACCCACCAGGGATTTTGGTAAGACTCTTGCAGATGTTATTAAGTTCACTGTAGGATAGAAAAGCAACAAATTGGCGAAGGTTGAGGAACATAAAATTAGGAATAGAAAAGATATTTTATAGCTACATCCAAGTTCACAATTTTGTTTATCTACATATAAGTTATTTATTTGTTGTTCTGCTCATGCAAATGTGGCCACTCTCAATGGCAATATAGTTCTGATTTTTTTTAATGCATATTTAGTTATGGATCTCAGACTCTTCTCCAAGATCTCGCAGCCCATTAATGACTGAAACAAAGTTATCCAGTCCTAGCACTAGTTCTGCTATGCGGAATTAGTGAACCATGGCAGAGCATCAGGTCACATATTGCATCGAAAAAAATCTCCCTTAAAGCACCATTATTAATCTCCCTTAAAGAACCATTTCCTTTAAAGGCTATATGCGTGATAGGGATGGTATGTATGTTTTCATGATATGCCAGCAAACCTTAAGTTTTCATAAAACTTGAACCAAAACATAGTGCAGATATTTGAAATAAAAGTATATAACAAATTAAATAAGTTACATGCATAATCTGTAGGATGATGTTACCATTAGTTATATCTTAAACCCCCTTACTGTGCTCCTGGAGAAATGTTTTCCGATTCAGCTGAGCTGTGTTACAAGCCAAGTTGTTCTGTAAGAGCACTCTGTTTGTATCTATTTTAGTCCATGATTTTTTAAGTGCATAGCATTAAATGGTGGAACCTAAAATAATAATTTTCCTCCCCACATGCTAATCAGGTGGACGCAGGATTACTCCTTCCAGGGAATCCAAGGGCTGGGAGGGCTCCTGCTTTCCTTGCTCTTTACGGAATGAGTTATGGGTAAAAAGACCCTGGAAGTTGCCCATCAGGACACTTTTAAATCCTCTATCCTGCAGAGTTCTGCCCTGCATCGATGCATTATATTTACTGCCTATTGCTGATTTTTCCATAGCAGCAGTAAAACCTTCTCAAAGACCTGTTGCCTGAGCCTCTGCTGTAGCAGAGCTCCCACCGGAGCCAGGATGAGCGAGCTGTGCAGCACAGCTCCATGTTCCCCCTCCACATACCTGGATTCAGCTTCTGCTCTCCCAAAGGCTAGGGCAGGCTTAGCCTTCAGTCCAGGAGTGCTCAGCAAAAGCCATTCCCTGCACAAATATATTAAAACTCAGGCAGCACGTGATTGGCAAAAGCCCAAACTAAGGCCTTGCCCCAGCAGTAGCCACTGTTTTGTTAACTCTTACCTTAACAGGTAAGCGGCAGTGTTAGTGCTGTAGATTTCTTCTTTCTCAGGCAGTGAGCGGTGTGTGTCTTCCCTCCACTCTAACCAGACCTTGTGGCCTTGATGTCTTGTGCTGGTGAACTTACTTGATCCATACTGTTTTTCAGTATTGGTATTTACGTTTGGGAGCTCTGTGTTGTGTATTGCAGTACAAAGTGTATAGGTATGTGAGTTAACTGGTCTCTGTAACCTGAATCTTGACTTAACCTTGCCTTTTAATACCTTAGCTGTGATGTCTTATGCTGAGGAATTAGCTGATAGAGGAAGAGAAAGGAGTGAAATCTAAGGAAACATAACAAATTTAAGAAATATGAACTCTCTGAATAACATCTAATTACATCTAATAAAATCTTCTAATTTGCTGTTTTTTCTTTTAATAGAACCACCTAGAGTTGTCATCTCACCCAAGAATCAGACTTTTACAGAAGGCTCTGAGGTGTCTATCAGATGCTCTGCAACAGGTTATCCAAAGCCAACAGTAGTATGGACGCATAACGATATGTTTGTTATTGGTTCAAGCAGGTAAGTGCTATAGCTCCCTCTTTTGTTTTTTCCTTTTTGTGAAAGAGGTTTTGAAGACTGCTAAGATATTCTTACTGTTTCTTCTACAGCAGTCTGTGAGGTTAGAGTCAATCTGTGTACCTCAAACTTAATCTTCATGGCTCTTTAATTGCAGTTACCTCATCTCTGAAATATAAATACTATAATATGAAGAAGGTGATTGCCTTCTTCAGAAGTTTTTCCCTAGATTAAATTTTAAACTGTTCACTAAACGTATTGAAATTCTCTGAGAGTTTATAATAAAACTGAATATTGATGTTTGTCTTAAATAAAAAACAGTGATGCTTCTCTGTAAATCTTTTGGTCATAGGGCTGCTGTTGCTTGGAGTTGTGGACTCATTTTCTTTTCCTTACGATTTTGGTTGATCCTCTGTTTATCTGTAGGTATAGATTGTCCCCAGAAGGTACTTTAATCATAAGAAAGGCAATTCTAAAAGATGAAGGAATTTATGGTTGCTTGGCAAGTAACTCGGCTGGGACAGAGAAACAGACGTCCACCCTTACCTACATTGGTAAGCAGGAAAAGAACAAAGCAATGAAATTAAAAGTAGCAAAACTAATACATGATCAATGAGGAAGCATTAGCATTTAGATCATTTAGAATTTAGCCATGTAGAACATTTCAGAATTATTTTCAAAAAAATGAGGGAAGATGTTGAACAGCTCCCAAATGTCTCTCAGTTTTTGTTCAAATGAAAACAATGTTGTTAGATAACTTGGGCTTGATATTTCTGATTATTCTACTTTTAAGAGAAAATTAAGCTATTAAAGTAAGGTAAGTGTGTGACTAAATAGTTCTTTGTAGGAACTGTTTTTGTAAATTCCTGTAGCATGTTCTAGATTCTGGAGTACTGAACTGTATTTTGTCCTCTGAACACTGCAGTAACACATGTTTTACTGAATTAGAAAGAAAAATAATAGCAATGTACTAAGGTTCCTAGTAGTTAACATCTAGCTGGAGAGTGAGGGATACTCTCAATCTTTTTACTCCCTGCTTGATCAAGTTCTTTTATTTCTTTCACTGAATACCTGTGTATTCTACTCACCTTCTAGGTGCTCTGGGTATTCAAAATGCTTGTTTTTCCTCTTTGTTAGTGTTTGGCAGTTACCCTTTGCATTTCTTAAGTCTGATTGATTTTTAATATAAATAATCTGTCCATCTAACAAGAGAAAGACTGGACTAACTAGTCTTTCATGAATATGTCTTAAAAATGGTATATGCTTTGGGTGAGGAACTCATATTTTTCTGTTTTGTTTCTTTTTAGAGGGTCCAACATTGACCATAGTTCAAAATGAAATTCTGGTAGCCCTTGGAGACACAACTGTTATGGAATGTAAAACAACTGGAATCCCACATCCCCAAGTTAAATGGTTTAAAGGTGCCTTTCTTACTTTGTGTTGGATTTATTTACTGAAGCAGTTGTATTTTAAACAGTGATCTTGAAGTGACTTCTTTCTGTAGTGTTTATGTTTATAGTGTTCAACCAGTGACTGACTTATGTAGGCTTCTGATCTACAAGATGCAGCATGTGACTTCTAGAGCATAAGTTATTGTTTCTGTTTAAAGACATTAAATAAATATACTCTTACATAAGTTAAAAGGCAGAGCTGCTCCCCTGGCCTACTTAAATGAGGTTCTTTCTTTCTTAGAAAATATTTAGATACATTACAGAAATCTCAAAGTATCTTTCCGTTCTTGCCTTTGGATGTTTCCTCCAAGATCGTTGCAAAGCCTAAGAATTTGTTGTTCTTTCTTTTGAATTGCAGAGGTGTCTGCTGTAATTTGATAAGCAGTGAAGCAGGCAAGCGGGTGTCTCAACTGAAGGAGGTTTTTATAGAGTTAAACAAGAGTTAGAGAATCCCCCATCTTAGAACTGGTCCTTTATTTTCACAAAAAGCAGCCAGCTGCTGCATGTAGTTGTGTAAACCACCATCCTAACTCTTTTCTGGAATGCTAGCATTTTCTTTGGTAGTGCCAACAAATCCTTATCCAGTCCAGTCTTCCACCTCTGACAGTGGCTGGAGACAAGCACAAGGAACAGACGTGATCTGTTGGCAAATAACCTTCACTTAGAGCAAGCAGTTCTGAGGCCACCTAGTTGATGGTTATCTTCATCACCTAGAGCCGGAGCCAGCAGGCTTGGGCACTCGTTCCAAAGGGTTCATGTGGGCCAGTTTGGAATGCTGCCCCATAACGTGGTGGTTACTGCTGAGTGTGAAGGAGCAGAGCTGCTCTCCAGCTTCTGCAGAGTTGCGGGTTTGTCAGGAGCTGGCACACAGGTCACTGCCACCCTTAATCTCTCGTCTAGGAAGGAGAAATACATCCTTACAGTCTAAATCTCTTTCCAAAAGTAATTGAGTTTACACCCGCTTTGTAAAATAATTAATTAAATAAATAAGAATTTGCAGTAACAAATCTTCCCACTCAGTTAAATGGAAGTCAGAGTAGTTGTCTGCTAAGTGAATACAGTGATGTTGTGAAATAACTTGAAACTTGGGCACTATTTTGTTGGAATGACTTTGGTAAATACCCTGTGATATTTCAGTTCCTTTTTTTGTCTGGATTTAGGTGACTTAGAGTTGAGGGCATCTGCATTTCTCATTATTGATAGTCATCGGGGTCTTCTGAAGATTCAGGAAACGCAGGATCTGGATGCTGGTGATTATACTTGCGTGGCTACCAATGATGCAGGGAGAGCCTCTGGAAAGATTACCCTAGATGTTGGCTGTAAGTAGCTTGTGATTTTGATGATAAATTCTCCAATTTCAGTATTTCTGTATCTGGTTATTGGTGCCGTAATTTATCTGAGCTTTTGTCACGACTATGCGTATACCTTCAAATAGCTGCATATTCTGGAAACCCCTTTTTAGCGTTGTCTGCGAAGCTAAGTTTCCTTGTCTTATTTGCTAATGTCATGTTGCTTCCCTGATTCCCTATTTACGTGCTCCTTTTTTTCCAGCTCCCCCTGTTTTCACCCAGGAACCCGGTGATGAAACCGTGGACCTTGGCTCAAACATCACCCTGCCTTGCTATGTTCAGGGCTACCCAGAGCCCAGAGTTAAGTGGAGGCGGCTGAATGGTGCTTCCCTTTTCTCAAGACCCTTTGCAGTTAGTTCCATCAGTCAGCTCAGAACAGGAGCTCTGGCTATTAATAGTAGGTGGACTAAAGGTTTTTTTTGTGTATTGATATATAGTATACTGTCATACACTATATATACACACTTCAATATATGCTTTGTTATGTATGTGTTGTTTTTAAAGGGATAAAAAAGTACCATATAAATGTAATACATTTTAGTTAAGTTCTCACAAAGTCATTTCTTTACTACTTTGTGACTGATGGAAATGAGTAGTCTGACAAAAAAAAAAAAAGTATTTTAAAAGTGAAAGATTTTGGAAATCATTTAAGATGCTGTAATCTGATTTTTTGTTTGTTTGTTTGTTTTTTTCTTCCAGATCTGTGGGTCAGTGATGAGGGGACTTACATATGTGAAGCTGAAAACCAGTTTGGAAAGATTCAGTCACGACCAGCCACAGTCACAGTAACTGGACTGGGTAAGAGTGATCAATGTTAGCAACATAAGGAAAAGCAACATTTCAATGCCTGGAATGTACCTGGCATATATGATGATATTTGTACATCAAATAGGAACTCTGTGTATTATATATGTGCACAGTGACAAATCTATATGCTTATACCTGAGGGTACATTTATACCTGTATAATCTTCTGTAGAAAGTGATACTTGTATAAAATATTATAATTGAATTTAGTTAATTTTGCCTATTTGAACATTGCTTTTTGATTGACTGCAATAATTTAAATTAATTCCATCTACACTTTATTAAATGGACTTCAAAAATATTTTTTCTTTCATCTCTTTCTTATGCCTAAGTAAATTTCTTAAGGAATGATAAAGCACCATAATGCTCAATGCTTGTGCTGAATTTCCAGCCATCTAATGCATCTGAGAAATAAAAAGCATCAATGAATTTGCTCAGGGCACTGTGTTGATATAATGGGGAAGTGATCCAAGAAGACTGTAAACATCCAGTCTTGACAATAGCTGTGCTATTAAGGAACTGTTTATTATCTCAGTTGGACAGTTGGCAATAAAAGGAGGTAATATTGCTATGGAATGTATATATTTGTGGGAGCATAGGAATGGAGGTCCATCTGCCATCAGAGAAAACATTGGTTATCTTAAAACATATGGTGGGAAGCTGTATGCTAGGGACGTTTGATAGACAAGATGTTTTTACCAATTTATAAGTGTTCTTTAATCCCCATTATTTAAAAGTAACTTCTGCTGTGTGTGTATACAAGGGCTTTCTGCTGGAGCTTACAGAGCACGCAGAATTTTGGGCCGGGCTGTTGACCTCTGTTCTGATACTTTAAATTTTATGACCAGAGGAAACTACTGCTTGTATATGGTCCTCACCAAACCGACTGTTTTTATTCTTCAGTGTGTTGTCCCAGTAAGGAAAAATAATACATCAACATGGTGTCCATGGAAACTTAAGTTTTCAGGGAATGCTGTGCTGGATGCAGTTTCAGCAGAGCTGTCTTCCGCTTGCTGCAAGTCCTTAGCACTGGGCTCATTTTATGTGTATTTGCTCTATTTCCTTTTCTGTATTGTATTATCCCATCCCATTTTGATTCTTCTGCCTTCATCAGTGGTATTTCTGATACCAGAGCACTCCTAAGCACACTTTTTAAAGTGTGTTGGCACCATCATGCTGGTTTTTTTTCCCTTTTCTCTTTTTTTTATTTTATCTATTTAAATCATACAATTTTTACCATGCAAAGTATTCCTTCTGTCATATGTGCATAGCATTTGTATAAGGAGAACTTTGTCTGAAACTACTGCAAGCTACGTTAGCAAAAGAACTCATAACAAAAGTTCAGCTTTTATACTTTGCATGAATATATAAAAATACCTAATAATTCTTCTGATTATCTTTTTGTTCAAGTTACACCTCTGATTGGGATAAGCCCAGCCACAGCCAATGTAATTGAGGGGCAGCAGCTCACTCTGCCATGCGTTCTGCTTGCTGGGAACCCCATTCCAGACCGGAGGTGGATAAAAAACAACATAGTGGTAAGAATCTCTTGTTTTCTTTAAGATTCTTTGACAGAGAAAATCTGCAACCTATGTTTTCATCCATGTTAACTTGGAAAAGCAATTCTTGCAGAGAGATTCTAAGAGGTTAGTGTGCAAGTATAAAATTTACACTTGCAAAAAAACAAAAAGTGCATCACAAGATTGGGCTGGCTCACTGAAGGAAGGATCCAAGTGTCTGAGAGCTGAGTTACGGTGGCCATCCCAGCTGAACAGGAGCTGCTGCCTCCTTGGAAACAGCCAAGGAGATGGATGAGTAAAGCTGCAAGTGTGGAGTTTCTGCAGGGACTGTAATTCAGGGTGCAGCCCTTCTCTGCTGTGAGAAATGATAGCTGAGTCCAACATTAGAAACAGGCTCAAAATTAAAAAGTGGAGTTAATGGCATCCTCACATTATACTTTACTCTTATCACTGCCCATGCCAGGAAATAAAACTCCAAAGTGTAGATGAGGAAAAAGGAGACAACAGTGGAGGAGATGAAGGTCTAACAATGAAATAGGAACCAAGGGATTTGTGAATTGTCTGTCTTCCCATCCCTCTCTCCCTATTTTTATTTTATTTTACTTTTTACTGTGACAGCAGTTTTATGTATTCTAGTTAGTTCCTGAGTGTCAGCCTTAGACACTAAATACAGGATTGCTAGTGCAGCATATGCATCTCTGACAAAATTGCAGGAACTTTGAATCCTGGTAACAGAACACTATTTCCTTTTCCCTACTAAGATAAAGATACTGTGAAAATATCAGAAAAAAATGTATTTTTTTGCTTTTTTTTGAAGATGACTTTTACTGTTACCAACGGGATGAGATTGGATGACAGCATCCCTGTATTGTTAGCTGCTCTCTTAATTGTATATGTTCTGTTTCCTTCCAGAAACTCCATTGGTAATTACTCTGCACTAAGGAAGGTTGCATGCACCCTGTACCTACGTTTGTTGTCTAATTAGTTTCATTTCTTTAGCATTAGCTTTATCATCGTTCCTAAAGCCTCTTCTTCATACCTGTAATTGAAAGAAATGATAGCAAAAATTTCTTCACCTGAGTTTTCACATCTTATATTAGATAAGCTGTCTTCCACTGATATAGCTGCAGGTTATTTCCTGCTAATTTCTTCTCCAACTGTGAAATCCAGCCTTTCCCCTTGGGGCTTCAAGGAGACCTACATCAATTATGGTTTACCTGCTGGAAAGCACCTCCACAGAGAGGGACCTGGGAGTCCTGGTTGACACTAAGTTAACCATGAGTGAGCAGTGTGCCCTCGTGGCCAAGAATGCCAATGGGATCCTGGCCTGCATCAGGAGGAGCGTTGCCAGCAGGTCAAGGGAGGTGATTCTGCCCCTCTACTCAGCTCTGGTGAGGCCGCACCTGGAGTACTGGGTGCAGTTCTGGGCACCCCAGTATAGGAGGGACGTGGAGCTTCTGGAGAGGGTTCAGAGAAGGGCAACCAGGATGATTAAGGGAATGGAACATCT